GATAGCAGCTCTAAAGGAGTTTAGGGCACGTGGTGATGGAAAGAAGTCAAAGAAGCGGGTGCGCGCTGAAGTGGGTGAGCCCTCCCAACAACGCTGTGGACAGTGCAATCAGACTGGGCACAACGCGCGAACGTGCAAGAATGATACAGAAGTAGTCTCTAAATGATATTCTAAGCTGTACTGCACCTTGCAGCGCCAGAGTGTGGTGTTTTGGGCCATAATAGGGTGAGGTTTAGTAGGGTCTTGGCAAAAGTGTCCGACTCGCCCGTGTGTCCGACTCGCCCGTGGGGTACGTTATCTTATAAGCTATCTACTGCGCGCCTTTTGTTAGCTGCTATATCTGCTTATTAAGTAAACTTGCTAGAGATCCTTAATAGATTTTTATTATGTTTTAAACTAGTGTTAATTGCGCCTCTATTTCTTTAGCATTACGTGGTGTTTTCGCCTCCTAAGCAGTGTTAACTTGCTGTAGTGGAGTTTGCGTACACAGCTGCACATCTAGCTTTAATAACACAGCCTGTAGATTATGTAGAGACAATCCAGCGCCTTAAAACCCTATATAAGTATTCTCTCTTGTAAACGCCTTTGTAAAAGCTACTTTAAAGGCTAGTAAGAAGGTCTATTTACTAATATAGTTAATACAATTATGTGCTAAGGCTAAGATCTAATCACTGTACGCGCGCTTTAATAGTAAGAAACAGGCAACATTAAGCAGCTGCAGGAGGTGTAACAAGTGTGGAGGCATACAGAGGGTAATAATCTTCTTCTCCTTACAGCAATCCTAGAAATCTATTAAGTAATAGCTCTTGTGGCTGTTAATAATTAGCAGCCTATACGCTCCTACAGGCCTTGCATGCGTATTAAAGTAATTAAGCTAGGCAAGCGCTAGATTGTTGTTTGTCTAGCCTGTTAGGCTTACTTAAATAACCTAATTGCGTAGGAGGTCCTTAGTAAACTAGTTAGAGATAAGAACCTTACTAGCAAAGATAAGGAAGGGTGGGATAACACGCGCTGTTACGCTGACGCCTTGTATTAATATAGTCTACCTATAATTAGTAGGCTAAAGCTTCTTTACTTTCCTAGGTTTCTCTATGCCTGTTATAACAAGTTGTGAAGATATCTTGCCTATTAGGAAGCTAGACTTGTTAAAGTTATATATATTATTGTCTATAATACTATACTTTACCTTTATATTCTAAACTAGCGTGAACTAGGGCTTAATAATTGCTAGGTCTTTATAGAGAGCTTGCTAGTAATTATATAGATAAGTCTAGCGCGTGCGCAGCTTAGGTGTACGCTTAATAAACCTGTTAACCTAGCATTTACTAACAGGCTCACTGCCGCGGTCGCGCAGCAGTCTATCAGCCATATCTTGTACATGTAGCTTTAAGGGCGGTAATTAACGTAGGTTCTTGTTAATTATACGCTGTAGAATTACCTCCTCTTCTAGCTTTGTTAGGCGCTTTAATCTAGGCTCACAGTTACGTCTAGAGGGCTTCCTGTCACGTTGTTATTGTATCGTCCTACAAGGAACGCTGTAGACTGCCTCAGCATGTTGCAGGCTTGTAATCTAGTTGCATTTAATGTTAGAGAGGGCAAGCTGCACGTCAGCTTTAGTATAGGGCTTGTGAGGTTGTGGTTGTTGAGACATTACGCGTTGAGTGTCGCACATGCGCTTTGCTGGTGTTCGTGGGGCGCTCACTAAGGTGGGGCGCTCACTGATAAAACAGGTTATACTAAGAATTAATAATAATAGACCTAGAGAAAGACTTAGCATTAACTTCTACTCCTAGAAAGTATAAGAAGTTACTAAAGAAAAGAGCTAGAGACTTATAACTAATAGGTTCTTAGGCCTATAGTAGGACCTCTACATTATAGATTATTATATAGCAAAGTTAATTATTAAGGCACTAACGTAAACCCCCAGCACCCGGGCCAAAAAAGCTTGGCAGTACCAACTCACGTTACAACTCTTCAATTTCATTGCTATTTAACATAGAGCCTGCGTATACTGTGCTTGTATCTAATTTAGAATATGCCTCTATATCTTTTTTGCACGTTCGCGCGTTATGTCTAGTCCCTCTACAGTTTCTACAGCGCTGTAGAGCCAGTTAAGCTTGTTCTTGATTAGCACTACCACAAGCCTCCTTTAACCGCTTAGCGGCTACAGAGGCCTCTGCGGCCACCTAAGCTGCTGCCTTACTATACTCTATAGTACTACCTTGCTAGATCTGCTTCCTTTTGCGCAATTTCTGCTCAGTTATTACTGCTAATTGCTCTTTAAGCTTAGTAATCTAGGCTGCTTAAAGCGCGTTCTGATGCAGCATAAGCTTACTGCCTCTAACAAGCTAAGAGAAGCCTGCTTGCATAGTAATAGGTAACTAAGTAAAAGACTTGTGTACAAGCTTTAACTAAGATCTAAACTTGTAGGTAACGTGGTTCACAAGCGAGTCGCCCACCCAAGTGAGTCGCCCACTAAACACCCGCGCCCCGCCTGCGCAGCAACAACGCGTAATGCCACAACAACGCAACATGCAAAAGACCTATACTGAAGGAGATATATTTATTGCTATCTCTGATATTAAGTCTAAGCAGATACAGAGCGAAAGACGCGCTGCAGCAGTCTATAACATCCCACAAACAACAATCCAAGACTGACGCGCTGGTCAACGCCCTCAACGCAACTGCAAGCTGAAATTAAAGCGCCTTACAAAGCTAGAAGAGGAGGCAATTATACAGCGTATACTTGAAGAGAGTCTATATAGAATACCGCCCTTAAAGGCGCATGTACAAGATATGGCTAATAGACTACTAAGGGAGCGTGGTAGGAAGCCTACAGGCAAGAACTAGGTTAATAACTTCATTAAGCGTACACTAGAGCTGCGCACGCAATAGAGCTGTCTGTACAATTGCCAGCAAGCTGCCTACAAAGACCTAGCGCTTATCTAGCCCTAGTTTAGCCTAGTTTAATTAATAAAGACAAAGTATAGTATTACAGATAAGGACACATAGAACTTTAATAAGTCTAGCTTTATAATAGGCAAGATATCCTCTTAGCTTGTTATTACAGGCTTAGAGAATCCTAGGAAACAGAAGAAACTACAGCCTAGCAATTGCAAGTAGGTTACCCTAGTACAAGGCATTGCTGTAATAGGGTGTATTATCCTACCCTTCCTTATCTTTGCAGGCAAGGTCCTAATCTCCTCCTAGTTTACTAGTCTACCTTGTAACTAGGTTGTTACAGTCTCTCCTACTAGCTAGACTAATAACAACGTTGCGATGGCATAGCTTAAGCACTTTAACGCCTATACAAAGGTGACCTCTGCTAGGGCATATAGGCTGCTTATTATTAAAAGCTATAAGAGCCACTGCTTAATAGAATTCTAGGACTACTGCAAGGAGAACAAGATTATCACTCTCTGCATGCCACTACACTCATCGCACCTCCTGCAGCCTCTTGACGTTGTCCCATACTTGCTGTTAAAGCGCCACTACGGCAACAGGATCTCGCTCTTAGCACGCAGCCGCATCTACTATATTAACAAAGAAACCTTCCTACTAGCCTTTAAAGTAGCTTTTAAGAGGATGTTTACACTAGAGAATGTTCGCGTAGGGTTTTAAGGCGCTAGGCTAGCCCTGCATGACCCTAAGGTTGTGTTATTGAAGCTTGATGTACAGCTACGTACGCTAACGCCACCTGCACCAGGCACTGTCGCCTAGGAGGCGCAAACACCACGCAACGCCTGCAAGATAGAGGCGCAGTTAACGCTAATCTGAAATTGCATGCAAATTTATTGTAGGTTACTAGCAAGTTTATTAGATAAGCAGGTTAAGTAGTTAAGTAAAGGTGCTTAATAGATAGCTTATAATATAGTGTTAGTGCAGGAGGAAATAGGCTACCTACAAGACGCTGTTACTAGGCTGGCGGAATGGGTATACTCCAACGTCCTTCGTGGGTACCCCCCAAAACTTTGTCAATAATACATGGATTCTAGCGAAATAGGGCTTAAAAGAAAGAGAAAAACTACCTCTACATTTCTGTAGGAGAGGGTTTTGTTATAACTATTAAACTGCACAAGCTAGAGGCTAGAAAAGGTTAAAAAAGGGGGGGTACCTAGCAAGCATACCCATTAATAGGTATACCTTGCTAGGTAGTGTTAATAACTCAGCTAATACTAGGCAGAATAAGCTAATTCTTTTTTTATTAGAAGGCGCAATACTAGGCGCTTCTATCAAATAATAGATTATGTAAGCGTATCTCTGCTAGTTAAGAAGCTATAAGCCCAAACGTAAAAAAGCATACCCTACCCATCCGCCAGCCTAGCTGTTACTACGCTTATAAAGCGCAAGACCTGTAAAAGGCAGTATGTACGCGTAGAGGAGACTCTGACAGTTAGTGAGGTATCTAACCTAGTTGCTAAAAAGGAGGGTAGTAGTTATAAGGAGGGCAAGACGCCTGCGAAGAGGGTGTGCGCAGAGAGGCGCTGCAGCTGTTGCAGCGAAATTGGGCACAACTCCCGCACCTGTAAGGTAGAAATTAAGGACGTAGATAATAGCAATGCTTCTAAATAATATTATAATGTTATGTGTAGTATTGTAATTTATTGTAGTGCTGCGCTGCACTGCTGCGTAGGCGCGGCGCGGGTGTTTGGTGGACGACTCACTTGGGTGGGCGACTCGCTTGTGAACCACGTTATTAGTTAGAGTCTTTAACTGCTACAGCGTCTCTAGGAGGAGGGGTTCTAGCAGGGTACGTAGGCGCACTTTAAGGCGATCTAACACAACCTGCGCGTTAAGAGGGACTAGCCCTACTGCCTTAAAGGCTTTATAATAGTTCTCTGCTATAAATATATTAAAAAACACGTCCTTAAAGGTAGGGAGAAAGCCTTCTTTATTAATATAGAAGATATACTTGTGTGCTAAGTCTTATACGCACTAAGAGTACTTACGCTTTAATAGTAAGAAGCAGACTATATTAAGTAGCTAGAGGATGTGCAATAAGTAAGGTAGCATGTAGAGGGTAAGGATTATGTTTTAAAGGCAGTAGTCCTTAAAATCCTGGTTAAGGTAGCTCTTATGGCCGTCTAAAATGAGCAGCCTGTACGCCCCCACCTGGCTCGCCTTTGTATGCGCGTCGAAGTGCTTCAGCCACTCAAGGCCGAGCGCGTTGTTCGTCCAGCCGCTCTTGGAGACAGAGAGCTTCCAATTGCGTGGTATATCTGCCTCCTCGTATCAGGCAGAGATGTGAACGCGTCCTTTGTAGATAATAAAAGGCAGGGTACAAGATCTAGTAGTGTAGACGCTCTAGATGACTATTACCCACTCGCAATTACCTAGCTAAACAAGCTAAGGTTAATTATGTCTCTCTACACCTATAACAACCTTTATTAAGCTAATAACACCTATCTAGAAGCTAGTCTTATTAAAGTTGTGTATATTGTGGTTATGTACGCTATATTTAGCTTTTGTGTCCTCTACTAGCTTAAACCACGCGCTGATTGTCTCTAGATCCTCCTGCAGTATCCTCTGCCTTTCTTTAGCTTGATTAAAGGCCATCTTGAGCTCAGCTGAACGCGTTACGAAGCGCTCAGCCTAGTGCTTGCTAACAGGCTGCCCACCGCGTACACCCAACAGTTTGTTAGCTATATCTGCCACCTTGCACAGCTAGGGCGCAAATCCTCGCAAATTAAGGTTAAGAATATACTGTACAATTATTTACTCTTTAGTGCATGTAAGCTTATGTTGTGTGTTGCGTCTATTATTAATATAAAGTCTGCCTCTATACCTAGCACTTAAGGTTGTATATAGTATGTTAAATGCCTAAGCAGCGCTTTAGAGGCTTTTAAATTTATATAATTAGAAAGTAGAAAGGGCAAGATTAATTCTACCCTCTTATTTAGATAATTGCACATCTTGTTAGTGAGGCATTACGTGTTAATATTAATAGTTGTGGCCGTGGCAAGAAATGGCCCAGGTGCTGGGTTGGCCTGGGTGCTGGGGGTTAACGTTATTAATATTTATCCTTTTTATAAAAAATTACTATAATATCTTAGTTAAGACTATTAAGGTAGATAATAAGATAGCTATAGTTAAACTAGACATATTAAAATAGCTAGCAATATAAGGAGTTATTATAGAGCCTTTAGCACTAGACACACAAGCACAGAACAGTAACGCAGAACGCTCAGGGAGTGTGAACAAGGAGAAAGCTTGCGCAATATAACTTAATGCCAACCTCTCCTAGGAACTGTGGCTAGAAATTATAAGGGCAGCAGTATACCTCTATAATTAAAAACTACACTACACAAACTATTAGAAAACACTATACAAGATATTCTTTATATAAGTTGCCTTTAGTAATACAATAGTAATATTACTATAAAAACCTAACCTTGCGTACCTAAGAGTATATAGGTGCAAAGTGTTTGCTATAACAGACAATATATATTGTAAAGAAAGTAGGGGAAGGACTAGACTACTTTCTTCCTAGTCTAGAAGGACCTAGACAAATCTAGACTAGCTTTGTCTAAATAGGAAGCGTATAGCCTAATAGAGGTAAGGTAGGGTTATGTAATATAATAGACAAGTTTTTATATTAGATACTAGGTAGAGATTCCTAGGCTAGGTACAGAGCGATCAGAGGGGGGAGAGCCAGAGGTATTTATGCTTCCTCTCCTCTGTCTGTATTTCTAAGCAGAACGTTCTAGACTCCTCTAGGTAGGTCTACTGCATCTATGCTTAGTATTGCTGCATATACAAGCAAGATTACGTAGGTACATGCGTAATCGTATACATCAGCATCTCACAGAGTAGGCTACTCTATTTGTAAGCAGAGGGTCTAGAACATTTCTGTAACGACTATGCACGAACACGACACGTGGCATAGCGCTCATTGCAGCTAGAGGCAAAGCAGGCTGGCTAGCACTATTATTGTCTATATATATTATACTACGCAACGAATACTTGCTTAAGTATTCTTGTGCTTACCTTTTGGTATAGGCAGAAAAGTCACGTAGTATTGATTTCGAGGGCAGGGCGCCTACTCTGTTACAGTTTCTAGTTACTTAAAATAGAGAAAAGCATATCTTAAGAACGAGAGGAGATACAGGCTTTGTAAGCACACCATTCTAATCCTCTCTTCTTAGAGATTACAATAGCAATGCTTAGGTAAGCATAGCGCTATACCTAAGAGGGAAATACGCTAGATAAAGATTATAAGAACAAATTCTTATAACTTTACAGTAATAAGCACTTAAGATATTATATTTAACAAAGATATAGTATTTAATAGGAGAATTAAGGACCTTATAGAGAACCTTATATATAATAAACTTAATAAAATAGTAATATATATATTTTCTATTAAGCTACTAATACTAACCTAGGAACTAGAAACAGATTCCTTTTATAAGGATAAAGCCCTAGTAGAGCTATTACTATAAGACAAAGTAGACCTGCTAGGTTACTATTACAGACAGAAGATACAGGATAGATATCCTACCCCTCTATTAACACCACCACCTGCAGCACTACTTGCAGGCATTATGGCTAGTAATTAAACAACTCTAACGCAACAAGCGTCCTTAACTACTATCCTATAGGCAGCATTATTCCTTGCAGGAACCTAAGCTAGACGTGTTAGAACATACAGAGGAGAAGTTATAGACAAGGCTAAGATAATAAGAACACTTACTAAAGGCTTAAAGCCCTATTAAAGTTAACTTCTACCTCTACCTATATTCTAAACTAAGCTTAAGGATTACCCTATAGGTAAACTCTTTTAAGAAGCTAAGTAAGAGCACCTTATAAGCTACTAAGAAATAAAATTATAGTTAGAAGTACTACTTTAGAAAATTAGACTAATAGGACAATAGATCCTTAACTATATATAGGTATATACCTATAAGGTTAATAGAGATTACTAACTACTAAAGTATAAGGCGCAACTAGTAGTAAGAGGCAATTAACAACGTAATAATACATTACAAGACACCTATGTAGCCACGCTTGCTAGCTAAACCTTTTAAACAATAATAGCTATAGCAGCTTACTATAACATAGAGCTTAAACAATACAATATTACTAACGCGTTTGTTTATGCTATAATAGACAGAGAGGTCTACATAAGGATGCCACAAGGCTATTAGAAGCCTAGCACAATACTACAAGTAAACAGGGCACTTTACAGCCTGCACATCTCTCCCCTCCTCTAGCAGAAGAACTTTACTGCAACACTAAAAGCACTAGGTTTCTAGACTATGCCTTACAAACCCTGCTATCTAACTAAGGGTAGTATTATTATCTTCTTTTATATTAATAATATTATCCTTATATTTAATACATTAAAAGTATAAGAGGTAATATAGATAATTAGCTATATACAGAGTAAGTACACCTACATAGGAGGGCATAACCTATAGTAGTTCCTTAGTATAGAGATTATACAAGACTAAGTAAGTAAGAAAATCTACCTATCTTAGGCAGTATACTTAGACAAAATAAGTTACCTTACTAAGAACACAACTATAAAACATAACACTCTAATAGGAATAACTAAACTACAGCTAAGGAGCGGACTAGCAGTGCTAGCAGAAATTAGCAAGTATCAGCGCAGAATTAGATCACTGCTGTTCGCTGCAGTCACCACGCGACCTAACATTGCGTTCGCCACATTAAGGCTTGCCTAGTTCCTCACTAATCTAGGTATTAGCCACTAAGATGCTGTGGACTAAGT